ATAAGCTGCGTTTCACTGGGCTGGGATGGGCTGTTTTCCAGCCATCCCGCACGTTCAATGTCAGCCATTAGTTCTTCCCAATCGGGCATCAATGTTCAACACACACCCGAAAAAATATATAATACTAGTAATAATAATAACAATCTGCAGCCTCTCCGAGCTTCAATACTTGAAGTATGAGTCAAAGCAGCAGTTTCACTTTTCACTCGGGAGGCTGACAAGCATGACTAGAGGGGGAATAAAATAACATTCAGCTCGCATAAATATCAAGCGGGCTGCTTGAGACTGATGGGCCAGGAATGTATTCTTAGCCATCATTCTGGCAGACAGGCCCAAGGACACTCATAACTTATTTTACAATCATTTAGTTTCAGCTCAAGTGGAAAACGTGACAACTTATCTCTGCTGACAAGATGCCATATCGAACCTTACAATTAACTCTCCCCCGATTATCTGCCCAGCCCATCATTAGCTCTGAGGCTTTTGATGGACTGTACGGGCACAGCTTCCCTTGATGATGGTCATCATTTGCAGGGTGCAGAGCTCTATTACACGACATTGAGGACAAAACTCTCCCCTTGCCACGGAGCTGGGGCTGCCCTGACCGGCACATCCTTGGCTCTGCAGCTGCTGGGCCGTGTTTTGAAGGGATGTGCAACAACACCTGCCTGAAAAACACCTTCTCCTCCAAAACAGAGCATCCTCGTGTTTCAGCCCACTTGTGCCGCTGTTTGTGACCTACAGGAGAGAGCTAGACAGGCCCATGCCCTCTCCCAGCAGCCAGGCAGCCTTCCTCCCATGCCTGCCCTTTCCTCTCCTTCCCGACACAGTTACTAACTCCCTCAAGCTGTAAAGGAGAGCTGACACGAGCCATGTCACACAATCAAAGAATCATATGGGTTGGAAGGACCTCAAAGTCCATCTAGTTCCACCCCCTGCCATGGGCAGGGACACCTTCCACTAGCCCAGGTGGCTCCAAGCTCCATCCAACTGGGCCATGAACACTTCCAGGGATCCAGGGGCAGCCACAGCTTCTCTGGGCAACCTGTGCCAGGGCCTCACCACCCTCACAGGGAAGAATTCCCTCCCACCTTACCCTGCCCTCTGGCAGTGTAAAGCCATTCCTCCTTGTCCTCTCACTCCAGGCCCTTGCCCAAAGTCCCCTTCTGACTTCTCCTGGATCCTCCTCAGGCACTGGAAGATGCTCTGAGGTCTCCCCGGAGCCTCCTCTTCTCCAGGCTGAACAACCCCAACCCTCACCTGGTCTGGAACCCCATCCAAACCCAGCTTGTGCTTCCCTCGTGCCCTGGCACAGAATAACAACTAACGTGCCTCCCAAATTCCCAAGCGTCTGCACCAAGCCCATCCGAGGTGTGACTCGAAGCCACGTCCCCTTCCCCACCCCCATCACCCGCCCAGCACAGCTGCAGAAGATGCCAGCGCTGGAACCAAGCAGGCCAAGGAAACGAGGGATAATAAGCCAGTGTGAGCACCCCCAGGCCAGGGTAAAGGAGCTGGGGGTGCAAAAAAGCAGGAAAAGAGACAACATGTAAGGTACGGGAATAGCACAGCACAAAGGCTGGGACACAAAAGTCCAAGAGCGGAGCGTCGTCGTTGGCCCACGGTTCCTATTCTCTGTCACACAGACACAACCCTCTCTCCTGTGTAACCATCTGCAGTGGAACCAAGGATATTCTGACCCCTTCTATCTTCGTGTCTTTTGATTTATTTCATATTTTTGTCAAATCACCTATTTACAAAAACTTGAAACAAACTCAACAGGTGACGCTATTCTCCACAGACCAAAGTCGAGCTTGATCTGGTTTACATTTTTCTTGCATCTTCTTGTTAAAATTTTCCAACAGGCTTTCAAAGTGAAATTAGACTTTTTTGTCAAGCCCAGCTCCCCAACACGGCCTTATTCTCAAGTGGCTGGAGATTGATTAATTTGGGTTTTTTGATTTGCCGAAGTGACAAGAAGTCAGACGTTACAAAAGCGGGAGCGGTGAATGGGATCAATTAAAGAGCAGAAGCGGCAACACAATTAGTAGCACCAGGTTCAAGAGGAGAAAGAAAGTGCTGATGACGAAAACAACAGCAACAGCTCTGCCTGCAGCAGGAATCTTTGCTGCGACCCAAGGAAGGCTGGATCCAAAGAGGGTGTTTCAGAACTTTCACTATGCCATTAGTGTTGAAATGAAATAAGGCAAAGATGTCGGTAGCTGGTGGACTGAATAATAAAAAAATAGCTGGACACTTTCATCTTCTACACATGTGTTTTAAATAAAGGTGAGAAAAGCAATCCTTTTATTTAAACGGGGGAAGCAAGAGACGAAAACCATCTGTAGTCGTATTTCAGACCCATTTCCCCGAGCTGAGATTTTTCTGGCTGTGCAATCCACTGCTCTCCAGCTCTCCCTTTACAGCTATTACCATAAATGTTCTATCAAGTTCTTTATCTTCCTCCTCTGCCTCAGACCGAAGTTAAAGGGATGCTGCAATCGCACAATGACTGCGGAAGGCTGGAGTCAGGCACGGGACTGACATTAAAATCCCGACAGACCTGCAGCTCGGCAGAAGTCTGGGGATGTAACAAACACTCAGGAGTCAGGGGGGGAAGGGGTGCCACGAGGTTACAGCCTCCAGGTTAAAAAAAAAAAAAAAGGCAAATATTTGTCCAGTACACAGAGCTCGCACCTCTGGCAGGAATTGGGCGCATTGGCCATCGTCGAGCTGAGCTCAGCTCGGACACTCCAGCTATTTAAGCAGGGCTTAAATGAACCTGCTGCACCGAGCCAAATTAAAGGAAGCTCTGAGCAGAACAGGGGGATGGAGATCAAAGAGCCTCGGGAGCACTCTCTTTCCACGGCATCTCCCATCTTTGCAGCCTGGAGCCGGTAAATCAACAGAGCTGTCCTGTCAGCTACAGAGAGCCCCACTGAACGCCCCAGTCGCTGCCTCCTTCCCTCTTAGGGCAATTTCAATTAAGGAAGGAAAAAACAAAGCCTCCTTCCTGACAAAAAAAAAAAAGAAATCCAAAAAGCAAAGAGGGATCTCCCTGCTTTTGGAGGGTCTGGCATGGCACCTCACCTCGAGGCATGTCTGGGCTGACAGCAGCGCTGCCACCCTGCAGCCTCATCACCCACAAGTTTGGGAGAGAAAGTCAGTCTCGTGATGGCCAGGCACAGATACTGCAAGGCTTCAGTAATTTTGGAGGTAGGAAGACCCTCCTTAAGACAAAGTTATCTCTGCCTCGTTCCCTGCCCACACACAATGTTTGGCCATCACAAAGGAAGCACGGAAGCAAAAATGCAATGCAGCATTTAAAAGTCTCCCACAAAAGTATATCTTCCCTCCCAAGGAACAGCAGGCCACAGTGCTGGAAAAGCAGCATCCTGCTCCCTGGAACTCAAAAGGACTGCCAGCAAGAAAAGAAGCAACCATGACCTGTCAACTCCCTTTCAAAGCCCCCTTATTGAGTAAGCTCCTTGTGTCCAGGAGAAGATTATACCAACTGATACAAGGAGAGGACACTTCTATTCCGAAGTGACCCTCCCGTGCTGCCAGGATGGTGACAAGCAAAGCAAAGACCGTATTTTACAGGCCCTGCAGCCTCGGAACAGGAACTGGGAATGAGATGTTCATCCCTCCTCTGCACATCTTGCCTACAGCAGGTTTAGGTCAGGAGCAGAGATGACATAAACCACTCCCTGAGCGGGCACAGCTTGCTAATTTATCTTATCCCCACCGTTCCACCTTCGCATCCCCCTCCTTTGCGCTGCATCTGAACGTGCCCTGTGGAAAGATCAAACCTGACAAGTTGTTTGAACACGTAAGGACGACGAACCAGAAGGAGATGCAAAGCCTGGGATGCTGCAGGATTGCCACCACGTCCCAAGGCAAACTCCACTTGGTGGCTCCTGCTGAACAGACCTACGAGGATGCACAAGGCACACCTCTGATCCTTCTGGCAGAAGGTTTTCACTGGGCAGCGTCAGCTCTGAGGAGGGGATGTGGTTCTTACTGGTGTCCCCCTGCACTGCCATCGACTGCTGCGTGAGCAAACAGACACCTGGAGCACACCAGAGCAACACACCGGGGATGAACGAGCTGCACCATGGTCAGCAGCACACAACAGTGCGGGACAAATCCTGTTTTATATCCTCAGACAAAACAACGTGCACAATAAATTCCCCTCAATTGCACAGAGAGGGGCACAGCTCCACCCTGATCTAACCCCCTCAGCATCGCTAGCCCTCCTAATTGCATTTACAAAAAATCCTCATTTAACAACACTGTGCTTTGAAACAGAGCCTTGAGGTCTCGAGGCACTTGGAAAATAATGACCCCATGGCTTACTGAATCACTTCCTACTAAAATATTTACCTTGTGTTTCAAGATAGGCAAAGTAAGACAGAGAGGAAGAACTGACTCTCTTCAAAGAGATGCTCAGAGCCAGAAAGACGTCTCGTCTCTACTCCTGTACTTTAACCTTCAGTCTGTGTAACCTGTGGATAACTTCAAGCATCAAACCCACTCGGTAATTGAGAAGAGGTTAGGAAACTCTCCACTGTCAGTCCACAAGACTGCAGAGACAAGCCCTAATATCAGTGTTTTGGAGTTTAAAAAAAAAAAATTAAAAAAAAAATCAAGAGACTTTCACTATTAACATTTTCCAATTAAGGCTGAATAATCGCTGTATAGCAAATTGGCTGCTAATTGCACCATGCTAGGCAGGAGAAAGCTAAGGCTTTCCTGGTAAGGCATGCCACGAGCACCAGTGTCAGAAGGGAAAAGAAGTTAACGGAAGCAACACCAAGAACACTCTTAATCAAAGGCAAAAATCACACATCTTCCTATTGCAGAAACCTAGAGCCGAAAAGCAAAGCTTTTAAGCCACAAAAGCTCTGTGTTTGCTGCCCTTTACAGGTGTCAGATGGCATACCTGTCATCACCAAACTTTCTTTTCAATTTCCCAATTTAATCCAGCCTCTTTTCTGGCTCCTGCCAAGCTCTTCCAAGGGCCCAGATAACCAAAACCCGGGCGTCAGAACAGCCCCCTGGTAAACTGGACCCTCCTCATCGACCCGGCCCGTGGGTGGCACAGCCCGGGCTGAACGGAGGGATGAGATCAGCTGTGACAAATGAAGGGCCTGCAGACTTGAAAGGAGCTGCTGCCCCACCTGGGGAAGGCCGGGTCTCTGCGCTCCAGCTGTCCCCCAACAATCAGCAGGTTGTGGCCGAGGACTGAACACACAGAGGCTCCTTTCACTCCTCGAACCGCAGGCACTGTGAGGCGGCTTTGAAGTGTTGGATTCCATGGGTAAGGAATACACGACATCCCCGGACCCCTCGCCCTGTGATCTGGACTGGAAAGAATCCCAGCTCTCCCTGCCAAGAGCTGCGCCTGATGAGACACCTGCCCGGCTCTTAATTGGAACAGAAACTTCATTAGGCCGGAGAGGAAGCGGGAGCATCGCGTGCCTTTCTCGCACACGCCTCATCCAGGCGCTGCAGAACAAAGCACTGCACTCCTGGTGCGCATTTCACAGGAAAAGTCGTTATTACAAGCACCTACCTGAACTTCCAAGGTGCGGATGCACAAAGAAAACAAACCCTGAAATCGGGATCTGCTCCCATGGTGGTTACACGTTAATTCTTTACCCTCTCAACGTAGTGTTTAAAACACTACTAAACTTGACCTAAATTTAGAATGTGTATTATTATATAAATTCAGATTATTTACATTGAGACACAAATATTTAGAAAGAAAAAAAAAAGGTGTGCTGCTTTGGGAATCAGTACATTTTTTTACTCTTTTCCCTCCTCCAAGTCTTCCTTACAGAGTCCTTAAACATGGAATGCACTGGGCTTATGAGATTTTTAAGCCACGTTATTTGTATGGGAGTAGTTCATAAAGTGTTACATTCTGCTCTTGCAGCATTATGTCTTTCCTCCATGCTTACTTGAGAATGAGTCTCTTGATTTATATTCCTCCCTCCAAACATGACTCTATTTTTCGAAGTCCATAAACTCCTGCAGGATTTTGTGTGAACCCAGCTCATGTACTTATCTCCTCGCAATTACTGCAAACATTTCAGATTAAAACAACCTTAAACTATAACTATACAAAATAACAGCCTTGGAAAGATTAAACTCTCTCTTGAATACGAAAAGAGATTTCAGGATGGCCTCCCTGATGAAGAACTTCCCTGTCCAGGGGTACAATCATCACTATTAAACCCGACATTTAGGGTTCCACCTTCCTTACTTGAGAAGTCCTGACTTTTGGACGGTGTCTCCCAGCCATGAGCTTAAAGACAACATTTTTCTCCTCACTGCCCTGTCAGGGTAAAGTTTATGCTCCAAAAATAAAAGTAAATTGCTTTGCTTTGAGTTTTTTTTTTTTTCCCCCTCCTTTCTCCAGAGTGGGGATAACAGAGGTGTGACAACCAGGCCCAGCTACAGGCAGAGAAAGCACTGATTTACTGAATGTTGCTTGACAATCAAGTCAGATTAATCAACATCACAAAAAAGAAATCACTATTTTTTTCCCTCTATCACAAGGAACATGCCCTTTGAATCCCTATTTCACCGCAAATCCTAATCAAAGCCAAATGCAAAATATATATTTTTAAGCATCCCTAAGTAAACGCTGGGACACACCAAAGCTTTACAGTTCCACTCAAAAAGTTAAGTTAGCCACAGAAACAATTTACTGACAGATGTTTGGCACTTCAGGCTGTGAACAGCACGAAGATGAGCATCAGGTTGCCAATGTCAAATTATCTGAGGATGCAAACTCACATTTCTTGCATGTGGGAACCAAGCACAGGACTGACTTGCTGAAGGCAACAATTCTTTGTATTTTATTCAGGGGAAGAGGGAGAGCAGAAAGAAGAGGACCTTCAACGAGAAACACAGATGGGAGAACTGTCAAAATCCACAGAATGTTGGGACAGACCTCTGAGATCACTGGGTCCCACCACTAACCATGTCCCCAGGTGCCACATGCACAGGTTTTGGGAAATATAAGATCATGCAGGATCAGCAAATCCAAAAAAAAACTCCAACAGTTTCTTATTCCTTGGACATTGTTTCACCGAATTTTTAAATATTTCTAGTTGACTGAGCTATTTCAGATCAGAGCCTGTGTCAAGGATGCCAACGAAATTTTAATCCTGAAATCTCCTCAGTACACAACCTCATGCTGGAAGGGGATGGTTTTCCAGAAATTGCTAAAAAAATGATGCTTTATAACCCGGGTTTCCTCAAGGTATGTTGACAAAGCAAAGGCAATAATAACTTGTTGTTAGCAGAGTTTCCCCAGCTGAACTGACAAAGCTTCCCTCTGGAACTACTTGCCAGAAGAAATTTGTCTGTTGATCACAAAAGGGCGTGAAAAGGGGATGAAATGTTCCCTTTCCCTTCCTATTTTAATGCCAGTGTAAACTAAGAGCACATACACTGTCTTAGGCACGGTGAATTTTACTATATTAACTATTAGGAACTGCAGGAAACCCTAGAGCAGCTGGGAAAAAGAAAAGAAGGCAACAAGTCTTTGTACTTTATTAAGGGGAAGAAGAGGGAGAGCAGAAAGAAGAGGATCTTGAACGAAAAAGAAAATGACTTTGCTTTTCAGCCAAGATTTCCTGGTTTAAAAAGGAGGGGAAAAAAGTTCTTCTGATCTAAACCATCTGCATCCACTAAACACAAATAATTCCGG